GTGAACTAAACAGCATGAGCTTCATGAGCTGAAAAGCACTACAATACAGTACATGGCATTTGGAGCAACTTTAGATGTAGTACATGAACATTGTTTTGTATCTACTACACTTTTAAATGTTGATTGTTTTGAAGTTGTTCCTTTCATTCTAAAGGATATTACTAGTAATTATTAGCTTGCAATGTTACATAATGTATTGAAGTTACTGTATTGCTATTATCAGTGTTGTAGTTTCACAATAGTTTAAAATCAGCTTCAAAATATTTTATTTAATAAAAATCATTAGCAAATAACATTTCTGCAAGGTATGACAGCTTATTGAAATGGCATAATAATATATCAGCACAATGTAAACACACTTATGTGTGTGGGGGACAGTATTTAATTGTTATGACGAGTTTTCATCTCTGTGAACTTGAGACTAAGGTTTCCTTTCCAAACTCCCCAAACAATTCCTTGATAATTATTAGTTGGAGTATTGAAATAACGACCATTAAGATTTGAATTATGGTAGCTATCGTACCACCAGGCACCAGTCCAATACTGAGCACAGTTATATTTTGAATGTACATCATTATCATTATCTGAATCTCATTCCATTATGCCGGGCCAGAGTATCCCCAGCAGTACCAGAGTATCCTCCTACTGTTAGTATATATTCAGTACTACCATCACTAACATTAAATGTAGAGTAGTTAGCATAAGCTGTGTTCCTATCAAAGTCTTCCAGGTCCACTCTTAGTGTGTTTGATCCTTCTTTAGTAAGACGATGAATCTTGCTCAATCCTAACCAAAACTCACCAGTAAGGTCACCAAATCCATTCTCATAGTCAGTCCAGTTCCTATAGAAATCAACAGATCCATCTTGTCTCCTCTGAAATACAGTCCATCCACCACCATCAGTCTCCATATCACAGTATACCTGTGATCCAATAGTGTATAATTATAAAGTATAATACAATTAAACATTACTTGGAAAGCTGGTCCATTATCTGGTTTTATAGGATATACTCCATTTAGTTTCATTCCCAGTTCTTTCCATGCTTTACAATCAGTTGGCATTACACATTCTAAAGGAAGAGAAGAGAGAAAATCACAAATTAAATTAGAATCTTGAAAGTAGCCATGACTTTAGAAATGGTATCTAGTTTACTAGTCAGTACCTGGTGTAGCATTAACACTAGTGTTAGTGATGGTAACAACTGGAGAATTTGTCAGCAAAAATTAATTAATGCAAGGTATGGCAGCTTATTGAAATGACATAATAATATATCAGCACAATGTAAACACACTTATGTGTGTGGGGGACAGTATTTAATAGTTACGACGAGCTTTCATCTCTGTGAACTTGAGACTAAGTTCTCCTTTCCAAACTGTCCAAACAATTCCTCGATTAGTATTAGTTGGAGTATTGAAATAACGACCATTAAGATTTGAATGATGGCAGCCATGATACCACCAGGCACCAGTCAGAAATTGAGCACAGTTATATTTTGAAGATACATCATAATCATTATCTCTTGTAGTGAATTTCATTCCATTATGATATTTCAGACTATCCCCAGCAGTACCAGAGTATCCTCCTACTGTTAGTATATATTCAGTACTACCATCACTAACATTAAATGTAGAGTAGTTAGCATAACTTGTGTTCCCCTCAAAGTCTCCCAGGTCCACTCTTAGTGTGTTTGATCCTTCTTTAGTAAGACGATGAATCTTGCTCAATCCTAACCAAAACTCACCAGTAAGGTCACCAAATCCATTCTCATAGTCAGTCCAGTATCTATAGAAATCAACAGATCCATCTTGTCTCCTCTGAAATACAGTCCATCCACCACCATCAGTGTCC